AAAAAAAAAAACATAAAAAATAAAAAAAAAAAAAAAAAAAAAAAGCGCATATGTTGGCCCGGTTTAATATTTTTTAAAAATGATTTTCACTAAGTTTTGATAAAAATATGTGGTTAAAAAATTGATAAAAGTTATACGTCCGATAAAATATATAATTAAAATTAATTATCGACTTTAAATTAAATTTTTATAATCTTTTTAACTAAATTAAATCTAAACTTAATATCAAGGCCATCTAAGAAGTACCCAACCAAACAAAATCCATGGACAAAATGGCAAGATTTGACTTTTCTGCACATCTACCAGGATTTTGTGCGCACTTAGGAATATAGACAGAAAAAGCACAGATGTTTTGTATTTTGCACAGGCAAATGAGAAGATGTTTAGGTTGTTACAGGGCCCAATAATGATATTTAAAATATAGTTTAGTGAACCCCTGATTATTTTAATAATGTGCTTTGGTGGCAAAGTCAGATCTCTGTTTCTAGGCATTATTCACGCTATGTTCTTTTTAAGGAGAATCATATGATAATTTAATAATACGAGTAGAAATATAATAGAGGTGTAAAATAAATCAAGATGCTTGGGTTTATAGAAAAATGATGTCATTCGTTAAAAAATTGAAAAACCTTTAGGCCAGGTTCCTAAATGTAGCCCCTAACAATCTGAGTCCTGACACTACCCTTTTTACATATTTACGAGGAAACACGTGATATTTTGATTAGATAAAAGCTCGATCTTTTAGGGAATGTTTTCTTTGTATTTCAATTTTATGTTTGGAGCTTTGAATTTATTTTGAATTTTGTGTGTTTATTTTGAAATTGTTGAAAATGTGTTCTTTTTGACATTTTGAAAACACCCAAAACGCGTTTTGTAAATTTTAGTTTGATTATAACTGAAAATACCCAGAACGACAAATTTGTGATTTTGGATTTTCTTTGCAAAATTTTTAACTTGTTTTCAAAAAAACATGTTTCAAAATAGAAAAGAGTGCATTTTTACTGTTTTGAAAAATCGAAAATAGAAAACAACTTTAAAATGGTAAAGAGAACACTCTTATTTTTTGACAAATTAGATGACATATGTTATTGCAGAGATAAAATTAAATGAATTACTTAATTTTACCTTTCATTGAGCCCACTTAACGTCAATAAAACCAATAATTTAACATCAATAGTGCTAAATAACATTACTCAAAAATCATGCCCCCTTCTCCCGTTTGATGGCTATTATTTTGGAAAAACATTATTTTAAACAGTAATTTTTAGGATAATGTGTAAAAAATAGGAAAAAATTTTGAATTTATGTTTAAAACAAGAATGGATCCAAGACCGGATTACAGACCGAGCTAATAAGTAAAAAAAATAAAATTACACATGATTTTTTTCTTTTTTTTTACATAATTTTTTTTTTTTGGGCCGGGGGAGGCCTAAATCCATCCCTGGTTTAAAATATTTTATTGTGCGAATATACGTTGAAAATAAGTATGTTAAAAAAAAAAAAGAGTTTAATAGAATATCACAGAACAAACAATTGTACAATTGTCCACATATACAATAGCATGAAATTCTCTCTGCCCCTGGGCTGCAACT